GAAGAAACGACCCAAACACTTGTTAAAACTAAGGGTGTTGTGACTGCTGAGATGGGACGTTGGGGCTGAAACTATGGAAAGTGCAAAGGATGCCACCTGCCCCAAACATGCAAGAGTCTTAGGAGTGTAAGGAGAAAGGATCTGGATACTTCTCAGGCTCAAGACATTTTTCTTTTTAGACAGTAGAAGGTACTGTGGAAGAAAAGCATTGATCTTTTATCCCAAATAAAGCAAGAAATAAGCCTCCAATCAAAATGCGCCAGTTTTTACTAGTATAGAGAAAGCATCTGCTAGCGCTGTTCCCACATCTGATTTTCACATGTAGCACTTTCAAGATCCACTGGAGGCTCTTTTATTTCAGGAGTCCTCATCTTGGTCTATTTATTGGACAATTTTATGCAAAAAAGGAAGCAGAGGCTATAGTTCTGCCCATGTTGCATGCTGTGGGAGGAATGACATTTAGGAGACACCACAGGAGCATGTTTGACAAAAAGAGAAATGTGTTATCTCTCCAGTGTTCCCTCCGAATGCCGAGCATGTCCCTATGAGATAGATGCAGACAGCCACACAGAGGCCCTAATGATGACACTAGTATAACTGAAATTTTCATACATCCTAACTAGACACCTGGGGTAGTGGGTAGTAAAAGACATTAAGCAGAGGCAAGGTAAAGACATTTTTGTCACTGAGCAGTTGGGCATAAAAGTAGAAAAGTTCTAATATGATGAGGAAAAACCAAAGCTTCATTATAAAATGCAAGAAACTAAAAAAAAGTGTCCTTTGAGAAAAGGGATTCGATAATGAAGAAAGAAGGGAGGAAAGAAGGTTAATGAACTGAAGGCACATTATCAGACGGGTCTAAGAAAGAAGACTTGGTTGGGAAAGGAGTGGGTTGTGGTAAATTAACACTCTAACTGCCAGGATTTATAATAGTTTTAACCAACAGGTGGTATTCTGTTGTTTATTTCCCCTTCCCCCAACAAAAGCCAAAAGAGTGACTTCTTCCACTCACTCTTCTTTGAGCCTATCATGCCGGAGGTGTACCATGTCTCTGGGTTCTATTGAGCCGTCTCCTTCCTGATGTGCAAAAGGAAGTTCCCTGATATAAAAGGTAGCATAAGTACTCCAGGGAATGCCCTCCCCAAAGGGCATCAATCTCAGCGTCTCCATTCCACAGACCCCTCTAGTTACCTATGACTGTAAGAGACTTGTTTTGGGCATCCTGCAAATTTCTGAACACTACTCTCCATTCTGCAGTAATATATAGTAATAACTGATAGCACCAGGCACCAAGCTAGGTTCTGGGAAGATTCAGACATGGTCCTTGTCCCGCTGAGTCAAGCTGGCTCATTCTAAGATAGGGAAAGAAACACATTAACAATCATTACAGCATAGCATTATGCGGACCATGAAAGAAACCTTTCCTGGTTATTGCATTTAGCAACTACCTCTCTGGGGTTGAAACAAATTATTACCAGTGGTTGACCAGGCTCCTGTGCTGAACCATGAGAATTTGTAATCTTCATATAAAGACACATTAGAAAGTCCGGGAATATTCTGCCTGGTAGGGAAGGCAGAGAAATGACTTAGTGACTATTTTACAGTTATGAGTATTATTATAATCCACAGTAGCAACCATCATTTTCTATTTCTCCCTTTTTGCTGAAAACAGATGAAAGAAAATGACTGTAAGTGGCAAGAAGGGGAGCTTAGGTTACACATAGGGAAGTCTTGTTGGTCATAATGTTATTAAACAATGGAAGAAACCACATAGGACTTGGTCCCATCTCTCATCTGGGAGTACCCTGTGAAAAGGAAACTGGACATCTACCTTCACTGAATGCCTTCTAGGGACTTACTCTATCTCTGAAGGATGTGGGGCCTCAGGAACAGAGCTAAGAATTGAAAGGAAGAGACTCCAGAAACAAGTCCCTTACTTTGTCTCTTTTAGGGTCAGTTCACTCGAGATTCCATGCCTCACATACACACATAGGAAAAGGCATTTCCTTCCTGAAAAAGACTTAAACTCACCCTATTGCCTTGGCAAACAAATCAGTGTCTTCTCCTCATTGTAGGCAAATCACTTGGAAGAGGGGCTTTTGGAAAAGTGGTTCAAGCATCAGCATTTGGCATTAAGAAATCACCTACATGCCGGACTGTGGCTGTGAAAATGCTGAAAGGTATGTATGTCATAGTTTGGCTTTCAACTGACCCATCACCATTTTGCATTTCCTAAATGTTGGTACAAGTGGGATATAGCCTGGGAACAGACATGAGCTATTTCTTCTCCGGCCACATAATTTTCTTCTACTGCTAGGTGCCTCTTTGCTCAGAGTTTTAGATTAGGCCAGCACGAGCTCAGAATAAACCTCGTAAATGGAACAACCCAGCACTGTCCACAAGAAAATGATCTCTGTCATGTCAAAGGTCTTTCTCTTCTCACATCACAGACTGTAGATGACAAGGGACTTAAGCCCATTGTAACTGCAGGTTCAAATTTTGGCATGATCCACTGTGATGTTGTAATGGAAACTTAGCAGCACATCCTAAATCCCAATGGATTAGCTTGGGCTTGACCTGATTATAAAGTAAAACTATAAAGCTAGAACAATTGAGTTGATCAGAGCTCTAAACTATTTTATACTAACAAGCCCCAACCATAAAACATTTCATCTTTACCAATTTAAAAAACTGAATTATCTTTCTAGTGTTGAAAGATATTACTACTCTGTAAAGCGCTGGAAGGTAGAGCCAAATCACAGTGACTTATGCCCAACACCAAACATAGATTGAAAATGAAAATCAGTGAAAGGACCAAATATCTCAAAGACTCACAGGCCCTTTAAAGTGTAGAAAATACTTCCTCATCTGTAATGGAATTTTATGATGCTTCAACTCAACAGAACTGAAAAACTCAAAGGGCAGCTTTTAACTTTCCAAAATCTTCCAGATATTCCCGGGGGATTTTGAAGCCCTGGTTCTGAGTCCAGCTATGCAGGTACATTGCACAGGTTCCAAGAGAAAGGGCTGTTTGCTTAGGGAGACTTCAAAGTTCTTAATCTTCTAGCAATAACTCCATTATGTCAAAAGCCCCATGTAAAGATATTTTCAACTTCAAAAGGCTGTATTCTCAAGAAAAGACTAATAAAACTGCAAAGAACCTGCCAGTTCTACTCTGAAAGTAGTCTGGGAAGGAGTTTTGCATCTACAAGTCAGAACTTTTGTTTAGGGTAGACTGCCCAGATGATGGCAGGCATTTCTGTCAGAATACAGACATGCTAGCATCTTCCCCCAAAGAGCCCCAGATTCTGAAGAGAAGAGGCATCACCATGTCTTCTGTGTGAGAAAGTTCACACTAGATACTTTCACATATTAAGCGGAACCACATGGAACTACCAATTTTCTTATTTTCTCTCTACAGCCTTGTGAGGTAGACATTATTATCCTCAGTTTGCAGATGAGGAAACATGGCCAAGAAAGGTTAAGTAGCCTCTGCAAGGCCACACAGCTGCTCAGCGTAAGTCAGGGTCTGTGTGCAAAAGCCTTCCAGCTTTGAATGCACTGCTCTTGCCTCCACACCCGTGTGCCACAAAAGAGGGATTGCAGCAACCTGGCTTCCTGGAATTGGCCCATTGCTCCGAAACCCTGAAAATGATCCTGGCCTGGTTTATGGAGGCAATCCAGTATCCAACCTAGACATAGGTGGAAACTAAATCTGGAATCAACTGTTTCCTCAGCCAGTCCCTTTCCCAGCTTGCTGCCACACATTGTCCTCTAGGAGAGGCAGCTCTGATGTCCACACTAATCTGTTGTGAGTCCAAGATAACACCTGTGGCCCTGCCTATAAACAGAGCAATCTAAACCAGAGCCTGTTTTTTTTTTCCTCTGTGACAAAGGGGCATAACTCCAAAGCGGAAAGGATTATAGGGAGACAAATGAGTTTGAAAGGAAAAGATTCTGACTCGACATTTTTTTTTCTAAGAGACAGGGTTTTACTCTGTCACTCAGGCTGGCATGCAATAGCATGATCATGGTTCACTGCAGCCTCTGCCTCACAGGCTCAAGCAGTCCTCCCACCTCAGCCTCTCAAGCAGCTAGGACTAGAGGCTCACACCATCACACCTGGCAAATTTAAAACAATTTTTGGGGTGGACAGGGTCTCACCATCTTGCCCAGGCTGGTCTGAAACTCCTGGGCTCAAGCAGTCCTCCTGTCTCAGCCTCCCAAAGTGCTGGGATTACAGGTATGAGCCACTGCACCTAGCTGAGATTTTTTTTTTAAAGGCCCAGAGATTCTCTTCTATGTACTACAGTAATTTCGTGTTGTGTCTTCATAAATGCCTATCGCTTTTTTTTTTTTTTTAGCCATCAGCATTGATTTGAAAAAAACTGCCAAATCACACACTCTATAAAATTCCTAAAATAAAAATTTTCATTCAGCTTTCTTGCTTAAATTGGTTGGCCATCTGTTTCTGGGAGATATAAAAAAGGCACGGCCAGGTGTGGTGGCTCACACCTGTAATCCTAGCACTTTGGGAGACTGAGGCAGGCAGATCATGAGGTCAGGCATTCAAGACCAGCCTGGCGAAACCCAGTCTCTACTAAAAAAAATACAAAATTTAGCTGGGTGTGGTGGCAGGCACCTGTAGCAGGAGGTGAGGCGGGAGAATTGCTTGACCTGGGAGTTGAAGGTTGCAGTAAGCTGAGATCACACCACTGCACTCCAGCCTGGGTGACAGAGTGATATGTTGTCTCAAAAAAAGAAAAAATGTCATAAGGTGCAACAAAGGCCATAACTCAAAAGCTCTTTCTAAGTGTCCTTGAGCAAAAATGTTAACCTTTTTGGGCCTTACACCCATGGCTGAAATGAGAAGAGTAATTGTGTTTACTTATTCCAAAATATTTGTTGAGCATCTACTGTAAGCCAGCCCTAACCCCATGAGCAGACTTTTGGAGTTTATCTGATTATTATTAAGAAATGATCTGTGCGGGCCGGGCGCCGCGGCGGCGGCGGCGGAGGCGGCGGTCGTGGCTGCGGCCGGGGGAAGTGAATGGTTTTACCCAGAGGGCCCTGCGCCGCCTTTCTCCGTTGGCACCGGCGCCGCTCCCCGCTCCTCCTCCCCGGCCATGGCGTTCACATTCGCGGCCTTCTGCTACATGCTGGCGCTGCTGCTCACCGCCGCGCTCATCTTCTTCGCCATTTGGCACATTATAGCATTTGATGAGCTGAAGACTGATTACAAGAATCCTATAGACCAGTGTAATACCCTGAATCCCCTTGTACTCCCAGAGTACCTCATCCATGCCTTCTTCTGTGTCATGTTTCTTTGTGCAGCAGAGTGGCTTACACTGGGTCTCAATATGCCCCTCTTGGCATATCATATTTGGAGGTATATGAGTAGACCAGTGATGAGTGGACCAGGACTCTATGATCCTACAACCATCATGAATGCAGATATTCTAGCATATTGTCAGAAGGAAGGATGGTGTAAATTAGCTTTTTATCTTCTAGCATTTTTTTACTACCTATACGGCATGATCTATGTTTTGGTGAGCTCTTAGAACAACACACAGAAGAATTGGTCCAGTTAAGTGCATGCAAAAAGCCACCACATGAAGGGATTCTATCCAGCAAGATCCTGTTTCCAAGAGTAGCCTGTGGAATCTGATCAGTTACTTTAAAAATGACTCCTTATTTTTTAAATGTTTCCACATTTTTTGCTTGTGGAAAGACTGTTTTCATATGTTATACTTGGATAAAGAATTTAAATGGAATTACATATAAATTAATATAAAATGATTACCTCTGGTATTGACAGGTTTGAACTTGCACTTCTTAAGGAACAGCCATAATCCTCAGAATGATGCGTTAATTACTGACTGTCCTAGTACATTGGAAGTTTTTGTTTATAGGAACTCGTAGGGCTCATTTTGGTTTCATTGAAACAGTATCTAATTGTAAATTAGTTGTAGATACCAGGTGCTTCTGATGAACTGAAAATGTATATCTGACTAGTGGGAAAATTCTTGGGTTTTCTCATCTGTCATGTAGATGATTATATACGGATACATTTACAAAAATAAAAAGCGGGATTTTTCCCTTTGACTTGAAAAAAAAAAAAAAAAAAAAAAGAAATGATCTGTGCTTATGAAATACCATGTTGGTATCTACCACAATGTTCAATGCACATACCGCTGACCCACTTCCAGGACACTGTCCTACAGAAACACTTGCATGTGTGCACAGAGATTACACACAGACTATCACAGTATTATTTGTAATAGCAAAAAGACTGTAGACACTTTAAATGTCAGGGACACCATTAATCAATTAAAAGGAATAGGCCGGGCATGGTGGCTCACGCCTGTAATCCCAGCAATTTGGGAGGCAGAGATGAGTGGATCACCTGAGATCAGTAGTTCAAGACCAGCCTGGCCAACACAGTGAAACCCTGTCTCTACCAAAAATACAAAAATACCCGGGCATCGTGGTGTTCACCTATAATCCCAGCTACTTGGGAGGCTAAGGCATGAGAACCGCTTGAACCAGGAGGCAGAGGCTGCAGTGAGCTGAGATCGCACCACTGCACTCCAACCTCAGCAACAGAGTGAGATTCTGTCTCAAAAAAATAAATCAATAATGCTAGTCTAAGCAGAGATTTTTAAAAAAATAGGAAAATAAATAAATAAAAATAAATTAAAAAATAGAAAAAGTCTCTGATTAAAAGGGGGAACACATTTTTAAAATAGACTATATATATGATTTCATTTAGGTAAACTATCAAAAAAAGGACCTCTGATTGAATATATATATATATATATTTTTATAAATGCATAGAAAAAGGTCGGAACACCAAACTATTAACAGTGGTTGCTTCTAAGAAGGCAAGTGGGTTAGAGTGGCTTTCACTGTTTATCTAGATTCTTTAACCCATATGTTTTTACTCCATCTCATATTGTTGAAATATCTTATAGCAAGATTATTTAATTTTCATATTCTAAAAATAATTTTAAAATTTTAAATGCCTTATAAGTTAATAAGAACAAACAGGACAAACTCAATTTAGACTTTAGGCTCTGCTCATTCTTGGACTGATAATGCTTATCTCTGAGACTGAAGTTGAAGTCAGATGCTATGGATCCTCACAACCCAAGATAACCCTGTGAACTCCAGGGAAGAAAGGGTTATAGGGAGAAAACAACACACTGCAAAGATGTTTACAGAAGTAGCCATTCTGTCCTGGCAGGCCCCTTGTGCTCCTTCTCTGTGACTCTCCAAAGGGAGAAGGTGAGAAGAGGGAACGTGGAGGTGTACTCCCTGCCCGGTGGGTTCTTGCTTCACCTGGTTCTGACAGAAGGGAAGCCTTTGGAAGGCACGTTCACGAGGTGCCCAACTCTGAGTCAGCGCATTGCTGAACAGAACTAGGTCCACCAAGAGGAAATGTCCAGTGACTAACCCCACCACTGTGCTGGGCCTTACTGTAATCAAAAGGATGTTGGCTCAGGAGGGTGGGGGTAATGAAAACAGTCTGGAGACTTGGCCTTTCTGCGAATGTGGGGAAGTTAGTGAAGCAACCGGCTAAGCATTGACAAACAAGGAGGGCAAGAATGCCGCCTCCGGCGGAAGGAGCCCCATTGTCCTGTCGCCCTGACTCTTCCTTGCTTCTCACACAGAGGGGGCCACAGCCAGCGAGTACAAAGCTCTGATGACTGAGCTCAAGATCTTGACCCACATTGGCCACCACCTGAACGTGGTTAACCTGCTGGGAGCCTGCACCAAGCAAGGAGGTAATGGAGAAGGGGAGGGCCGGCTCCATCTCCCCCTGCACAGGCTGGGAGAACAGTTCTCTGCTATACAGCTCCTCACCAGCACTGTGCTTCCTCGCCTCCAGGAAAACGGCCTCCTTAATAGCTCCAGAAGAAACAGCTTGTGCATCTACAGAAGGGTGCTCCCATAATTGCCTTCCCTGTGCAGTTAAAAATTCTGAAAAGGACTCCCTTTTAAATCTCCTTCCACAGGCTCTAGGCCAAGCGGAGGGCACTTTTCTCTCAGGATGGGTTTGAAGGAGTGTGGCCAGAGCCAAGGTAGAAGGTTGCATATTCCTCGAGGCTTCACCTAAAGGAATGAATGAATCACTACTGGTAGGATCCCAGGAGGAGGTGATGTGGGGGCCCTTCCCTTCACATCCACCATGCAGACAGACCTTACCCATGGGGGCAGGGACAGAGCTGTGCCTTACGATTAAGGACTCCAGCATGTCGCAGATGTTTCTTTCCGTATGGCAGGGTTAGGGCTTGAGAGTAGATGTGTGATCGTTGTTTGAGCCAGCAAGGTGCAAAGGAGCTGTGCATGCCGATGCTTTCCCCAGCTCTCAACAGAGGTAGCAGGGATGAAGCATAGCTGGGGAAGACCTATCTGCTAGGGGCAGAGGTGGCCAGAAACAGTCAGAGGGACCTAGACACGGCCCCGCCTGCTTCTCTATCATCCCCGGGTAAGGTTTTCTCAAGTTCTCTGTCGTGGCAATCTCATTCTGTTTGCCTCAACTCTGCATCTGTAAAACTGACCAGGGATAATGAGACAACCTACCTTAACGTGCGGCCGTCAGCTCCTCGGTGCAGCCGGGCGCCAGCATAGAAGCCCCTCCTGACGAGGGCGCGGGACTCCAGACGGGAGCCGAGCTCTGTGGCATCCACCGTCGTAGAGGCGAGATGTGAAACTCTGAAAGCAACTTCCCGTTCTGGAACCTAGGGGGATGAGATGCTGTCAGGGCTTCTAGCATGTCCCCATAGTAAGAGAAAACCACTCCACCAGAACCAGCCCTGCCTTCTGCAAGGCACAAAAAAGAACTAGCGGATGGACGCTGCTGGGCTCCCGGCATGCCCTGGGCGGCGGCTGGTGAAGCATCTCCGGGGTCACTCCCATTTGGCCCGGAAGTGGTCCTGCCTAGTGGGTTGTGTGCCCAGCCCGGGCATGCAGTGGAGGGGAGAGGAGGCCTTCAGGGCACCACATGCGCTCCACAGTGCAGCTGGACTTCGTTCCCAACTCTCTTGCTTCCTTCAGACCCGGGTCGGGTCGGCAAACCAAGGTCAGCCTGTGGGCTTAGAATGGTTTGACCTTTTTAAATAGTTGGGGGAAACACATTTAAAAATATTTCATTACATGAAATTCAAATTTCTGTATTTCTGTGTTCATAGTTTTCTTGGAGCACAGTCATACTTGTTTGGTTTTTTCCAGGCTACAAAGGCAGAGTTGAGTAGTAGCTCGTTGGTCTGCAAAGCCTAAAATGTTTGTTTACTAGCCGGACCTTTACAAGAGGAGTTTGCCGACCCCTGCTTCAGGTCCTATGGCAAGCTCCAAGGCAAATTGCGCAGATGCAGCTGGGGAGAGATGGCCAGGTAGCAGCCTCTGCCCTGGGAGGGAGGAAGGAGCTGCTCAGTAGTCCCGGGATTGGTGTGACAGTGACCAGAAGAAGCCCCTCTCCTCGGAAGGGTCTGGCTAAGAGGCGGGGAGCTGGCTTTTGCCTCTCCCCTCCTCAAAGGTATTTTGTCCTTCTAATCTTTTCCCTCTAATGCTTCTGCACTGTCCCCACCTCCATTTTTTTTTTTTTTTTTTCTGTTTCAGTTGTATTCTTTAAACTTCTTGGGTTAAACTGAAAAAGTCACCGTATTCATGCACCTCTTATCCCTAAATCGCATCCCTCGGCCCCACTAATACAAAGGGGAGTTGGTTTGAGGTTTCTCAGGCAGGCAGGCCGAAGGCTGGCAAATGGCTTACTGGCTTGGTGTGGCTGAGCATGAGCATGCGCTGTTTTTGGCTGCAGGGCCGCTGATGGTGATTGTTGAATACTGCAAATATGGAAATCTATCCAACTACCTCAAGAGCAAACGTGACTTATTTTTTCTCAACAAGGTAAGGATTTTAAAAGTTGGAATTTTTTTAAAGATAGCTATGAGTTTTCATTTAGGCTGTAATAGCATAAAGCAAGAGAAACCTGTATTCTGTTAATGATTAAGCTTAAAACTCAATCTCTGCTTCTCCTTTTTTCGAGTTTTTTTCTCCCTGCTAATCTGTTACACTCTAGTGTGGCTAGCACAGAGAATCATTTGATCCCTGTGTGCATTTGCGGCCATAATTGGAGAGTAAATCTAGCTACCTATCTAAATATCTATCAGTAATTTTCTCTCTCTCTCTCCCCATGTATGTGTGCATATGTATGTACACACAAACATACATACACAGGTCACTTATTTCTTTAAGGAAGATACTAGCTAATATAATTGTCTCCATTTATTAGGTTAGATTTTGACTAAGGCTAAGTCAACTGAGTAACTTGTGCAATCAGCAGTAGACCAATGATGGGGCCAGAGCCAGAAATCATCTTTCCTTCCTACTGCCCTTTCTCCCACTTCTTGACACCCTCACTACTCATGTCATCTCTACATATCCTCTGAACCAGCCTTATCACTAAATAAAAGCTGTGTAGTAAAAATAACACATGGATTCAAGCCCTAAGGGCAGACAAGGTTTAAAAGAGATTATTGGGCCGGACACAGTGGCTCACACCTATAATCCCAGCACTTTGGGAGGCTGAGGCAGGTGGATCACGTGAGGTCAGGAGTTCTAAATCATCCTGGCCAACATGGCAAAACCCTGTCTCTACTAAAAATACAAAAATTAGCCGAGCGTGGGTGGCACGTGCCTGTAATCCCAGCTGTTAGGGAGGCAGAGGCAGGAGAAGCTTGAACCTGGGAGGCAGAGGTTGCAGTGAACTGAG